CACTTTGAAGACATACATGATTCTTTTATCACTGGATACAAACCGATATGCATGCATAGTACACAAGGACATAAGAGAAGCCAATGTTGGATCAGGCCAGTGGCCCATCCAGTCCAACACTCTGTCACACAGTGGCCAAAAATACCAGGTGCCATCAGGAGGTCCACCAGTGGGGCCAGGACACTAGAAGTCCTCCCACTGTTGCCCCCCCAAGCACCAAGAATACAGAGCATCACTCGCCCCAGACGGAGAGTTCCTATCTATACCTTGTGGCTAAGCCACTGATAGACCTCTGCGCCATATGTTTATCTAATCCCCTCTTGAAGCCGTCCATGTTTGTAGCCGCCACCACCTCCCGTGGCAGTGAATTCCATGTGTTAATCACTCTTTGGATGAAGAAGTACTTCCTCTTATGTGTTCTAACCTGACTGCTTACTTAGTAATTTCATTGAGTGCCCACAAGTTCTTGTATTGTGAGAAAGGGAGAAAAGTACTTCTTTCTCTACCTGCTCTATCCCCTGCATAGTTGCTGCTCAACAGCTGTTCTGTACACCTTCTGAGTAGCTGAAGTGTAGACTTTCATTGTTGCCTGTGCTGTGATAGGAAGTAAAATTTAATCCACTGATTTTCTTAATGTGGAACTTGAGCGGTCGCTGTTACAGCAACCAAGTCCATGGGTACAACATGTTTTGCACAGGGGAGAAGGAGTTACAATGAATCTTCTTTTCTTCTTAATGGAGAGTTCACAAGGCTTCCCCTGAAGTTAAGTATCTGAGAATGGGGACCTCTCTCTCTTGGTGTCTCCTCTTCTGCCAGCCAGGCCATAGTGGATTTGGAGGAGGTGTGCTCAGGTGGGGGGAGGCATTTTGAGGAGATGTGCCAAGATGGCACATAGTGGCAAAGGGGTTGGTAGTGAGTGGCCCAGTGCAGTACATCTCCCACAGCAAGTGGGGCAGTGAGAAACTGCAGTGGGTAGGACGAGAGGTTGGGCAACTGAAGGAGCAACACCAAGAGAGAGCCCATACATGCATATGCCCCTTTCTCTCCTCCTGGTTTATCCATAGAGTGCTGAAAAGCTCCTGCCAGCTCTCCAGCCTTCTTCTCTCTTCTTCCTTTACTAAAATGAAGTTAATCGTTGCCAGACAGCATTGTTCCCCTCTTTATTGTCATAAAGGGAGAGAGATGTGAGGATGTACGAAGCTGGCATGGAGTAAGAGGAGAGAAAGAGAGATGCAGAGGGCTGGCCATTTTCAGAGGCTTCATGACCTACTTTTGGGGCCCAATCCACAGGTTGGGAAACACTTGTGCAGTAACGTGAAACTTCTGAGTTTGATTTTTCAGGAAAGAAAGATCTATTACAGGTGGATGGAGGGTTACTTTTAAATTCAGTGCTTTTCTGGAGGATGAAGGGTTAGTTGTTAAATATTGAAGAAGCACAACACCTGTCAGACATTATAGTACCTACTCCTCACAAGACAGATATTGAAATATCAAGAAGTAACAAACAAAATAGTGCTGATAATATTCAGTAAGTTGTACTTTGAAAAATAAGGGTGGAATATATTGGTAAAGCAACATTGAATGGCAGTGGTTTTAACCACCCAATTAAAAAAACATCAGTAGAGTATGAAAAATGGAAGACTTAGATGTGGTCTTTCTGTAAGAGACCCTCTTAAGGGAACACAGATTACATGTGTTAGGTGATCTGTTTAAAGACCAGAAATATTTGTCATGTGCTCAAACCACAACTAAAGGAATGGGTATATTTACTGTGCCTAAAAGAAACATTGTAAAGAGGCATCTAATTCCTGATACAGAAGACAAATTTGTGTTTTGGTAGTCTGTGTGTGCCCAAATGTTCAACAACAATACTTAAAAAAAAAGTAGTAAAACTTTTAGGCCACTTTAAGAGGGAGACATTTTCCTAGGTTGAGACTTTAATAGCGATTCAAACCCTTATATAGAGAAATCTAGTAATAATTAAAAAGTGTCATCCAAGGCATGCATTATTGTTACTTCTTTGATATCAAAATAACTTTAATAATCTGCCATAGTCAACCAGTAGTGGGGAGAGGAAATTAATGTGAGATTGCCATTTATAATATTTTGTAGGGCTGGAAAGTGAAGTGATATAGCTTTGCCCTTAATTAACATGGTTGTTTAAGTACATTAACTAGAGCCATACATAATTTCCCAGGTTTTTATTTTGCAGGTAAGGCTGATCATCTATATCCTATGCTGACAGTAAATCTGCATAAATGTGCAGTACAGATGTGGTACAGGCAGGTATTTAGGATTAAAAAATGTAGTCCTGGACCTGGGTTTTGAGAAGACACAATATGCTTAGAACTAGTTCCCTTTATTTGTGATCAGTATGTATGGTGAAACTGTAGTTTATGGTGGTTCTGCAATAGATGTCCTTTATTTTAAGAGTAAGGTAAAGGTAAAGGTTTCCCTTGCTCGAAAGCCAGTCGAGTCCAACTCTAGGGTTGCGGTGCTCATCTCCGTTTCAAAGCCGAAGAGCCAGCGCTGTCCAAAGACGTTTCCGTGGTCATGTGGCCAGCATGACTAAACACCAAGGCACACAGAACGCTGTTACCTTCCCACCGAAGTGGTGCCTATTTATCTACTTGCATATTTCTTGCTTTCGAACTGCTAGGTTGGCAGGAATTTTAAGAGTAAGAGATTACTATTGGAGATGTGTAAGAGAACACCTTTCAGGCTGCTTTTGTATTGTTGGGTTTCTGAGTGGTCACTTAAGGCAAGGCTTGTTGTGTTGCATTATTGATTTATAAACCTTGAATAATGAGTTTCCATTATTTTTTAATAAAGCATTTCAGTTGGACTCTGCCTAATCCATGATGTTTGGCAGAGGTCCACTGGCAATCAGTCTTCCACAGAGCTGCACTAAAGGCTTTAAAATACGAGCTTCAGGAATGTAAGACATATGTGCAGCCCTGTGTGTCTTCTGAAAAAGATGAGATTAACTCATGAAGGATGAAGGCACCTTTTTGTATTTGTTGCACATTAATAGCCTTAAAGAAAAGAACCAATCCATATCCAATTTTTACAACTGGAAAGGGTTTTTCACAACTGGAAGGGTTTTTTCCCCCTTACTTCCCTAGAAGTGATTATTTGCCATAGGCTACAGGTAATTTTATATTTACATATCTTGTTTATGGCAACATGAGAATATATTTAATAGTTTTTTCTGGAGAGGAGTAGATTGTGAAGGGTTATCACCATTTCCCCTGCTAATCAGTTTTCAACAGGCTGGTATACAACGAATAGCAAAATTGAGCTTCAGATTCTGGCTGCATGTACATAAACACAGAAATCACT